CTCTTTTATCTGTTGTGTTTCTTATCATAAATATATATATATATTTGAGCATTGCCTTTGTGCCCAAGAGTCAGAGAGGAATATTTTCTGTGTTTTGTTTACTTTTACACAGTTACCAAAAGACTATTCACATGTATGCTTTTAACTCTGCTAATTAAGCTATCGTAATGTCAAATAAAATGTCACTGTGACCATGCCTAATTCGCATTACAAATTTGGTTGAAGAGATAAATGGCCAGATCCTTCAGGGTGTAAGTCAGTCCAGCTCCAGGCATTTGTGTTCACGAGATTTACAATGGCTAAGGATAAATCTACAGACTTCTGAAATGGAAGCCTAAAAAATACTGCATTAATGAAATGCAAATCATGTTGCAGTTGTTAAATGAACCTGCTATCTCAGGTGTCTCAGGCAGTGAAACTGTAAAACTGCTCTGGTTGGGATACAAAAAGCAAATAAGTAGTTACACTCTCTGCTGATGTACAGGAGTGAAAGACATCAGACCATGTAAAGCTTAATATTCCATGAATGGCGTGGTCCAACACCCGCTGAAAGTCAGTGGGAAAGGCTGTTGATATCTGATCCAAAGACGATTAGAAATTAAAGATTCTAGGCCTGTTCTTTACCCAGTAAAAACTGGAGTCACTTGATCATGGCTGGTTTATAAAACAGGAGCTAATGACATGCAATAAAAAATTAAGCTCTCATAGACACAGAAAATGTTTTTGCTAGTGACACTATGTAAATGCAAACACATTATTAAAAATAGATCACAATTAACATTATTCAAATGAGTTTTAATTCTCTGTTTGTGCAATTTGAAGAAAAACTAATGCAAGTCATATCATCTCTAATGACAGTTTAAAGACAAATTTAAAGAACGCAATTGAATTTTGATACGAGCTTTAATTGACAGTGGAATAGCCAAAACTTCACTAATTTCCAAAGAAGTGAGGTAATGTAGGATTTTGCCTAAGAACTTTAATAAGGATGGATGGGCACAGTTCAATACACTGATCTTATCTCATAAATCTTCTGTTCCATGACAAGTACAAAGTTAAACACATCTGAACTATCATTTAAGTTGTCAAAAGCCTTTGCTATGAAATTGAGTAGTCTCAGTGATTGTTACTGAATGTCTGAATAAACAATTTCTGGAAGCTCCTCATTAAAAATCAGTACTTGTTTATTTTAAAGAAAAATGAATCAATAAAGATATGTAAAAGCATTAAGAACACTATATACATGTGACTTCTGTGTAATTTTTTTCAGGGCCTATATGTTCAACTGCATCCTACAAGTGACAAATAAACCTTTCAAAATAAAATTAAAGAGGTATTAAATACAAATTTAAATCTCCAAACATCTCCACATCCTTTCCTGAAAGGATCTTCTTTTGCATATAAACCAGTGAAGACAACTAAGCAGTCACTGGATGAGACCAGAGAGAGTTCTTTTTCATCGAGCTGTGAAAAATTATAGCCCATCAAGTGTCCCCTTCCCTGAGTCCCAGTACAAAGCAAACATTAATTGCTGTTTCTCCTCAACTAGTACAGGGGTGTTTGCATAGTGGGCCGAGAATTAGCTGAAAATTAAGCAAAAGACAAATACCTAATGACTGAATTTTAGGTGTATTAATTGTATCAGAAAAATTCTGAAGACAGGTTTTCGATCCCAATACACTGAATAAAGAAATGAATCTGTGTTTGCTACTTTTTTCAGGGCTGAATGTTTACCTTTCAAGCACATTAACAGAGAATTTAGCAACTAATAAATCGCAGTGCTGATAAGTGCTCATGTTGATGCACCTGTGGGCTTTTGAAAGTGACAGCTGAAACACAGATGGTTTCACACCAAGAAGCGCTTTTAAATGCAGGCTCAGTCTAAAACAGGTTATCCCAAATCCATCTCCATTTAGCAAAGGAGCAGCGTCTCAATACAAGAACAGTCTGTTGGACCACACTAACCTGTCCAAGTATGTTACATGTATGACAGGGACCAACGCTGGAGCTCCTGAGGACTGAGCCTGGAGCTGTACTGCTATAGGAGAGTCCAGCCCTGCCCCTGAGAATACCAAGTCAGATGGAAACTGCCCTCACCTGCACTGCTGAGTAAAATTACATCCAGTTTTCTGGCCCTGAGGCAGTGTTTCACTTTCTCTGGACTATGTGTGCTTGGTGCTGTGTAATGCCGAGTGACCCTGAGGTGTAATTTTTACCTTTTGCTTATCTTTATCAGTTCAAACTGTTTTGGTGCTGGAAGAACTCTGCTGTAGACAAACAGAAGCAGTCTTGCATATGTGAAACTGTACATATGCGCTAGGTTTAACAGTGAGAACACAGAGTTCTTCAAAGACTTAAATCTGCTGGGGAAGATGTAGAGCCAGTTCCCATGCAGTCTTATCCACACTGCTTACTGGGAGTGATCCCCAAAACATGCTAGGACCCAAACTGCCATGGCATGGCATGAGAAAGCTGATTAGCATGTGCCAAAACCAGACTAGGGATAAACTAAGCAGTACAAATGCTCCAGTTTGTCTGCTGGGACTGCTTTATTCAACAGCATGGACGCAGCTGTTAGCTCTAACTTCTATCACTCATCAGCACATGGTTCTTTTTCTACATCCAACAGATTTTTTTTTTAATACCTGCACCTATACCGTAATAGCTGTAGTACTGTGTATGCATTACTTGGGATGTTATGCTTCTGAGTATAGTGAAGATATTTGGTTTTCCTCTTACAGGTATGGTCAGCTTGTGTGCTATCATTTATATATGCAAAATGTTCTATAGGCTTGCACAGATTTGCTGATTGGAGGCAGATCATCATGTAAAAAGTGTTCCTACTTTTATTTGTTCTTGGACAGAGAGGACAGAAGGAAAATCGTTCCTACTCCCTTCTATTTACAGTGAGACACAAAGTAGAGTTAGTTTATCTGATCATCTCATAGCATCAGAAAAAAAAGTTTGTTGTGATTCAGTTTGCAGAGACTAATTTATTCAAATGAGCTTCCCAACCCAGATATTATGCACAAATGTTTTGGTTTTTTTTTTTCCTGAGATAATAATGTATTTTAATTAGTAGACAATGTTTTCTAGCATAGAACTCAGAGAGTCAGCACAGCTTAGCTTCTTGTGTGTTCAGTAACTTGTCCTTTATCAAAGAGTCAATCCTTTTGTGTCTTATTGGCAGTACATGATGTGCATTGATTGTGGACAGTGATCTATTTAATAAGCTTATTCATGTGCCTGTGTGAAAAAAGGCTACAGATACCAAAATCAAGATATAACAGAAAGAGCTGAGAGCATCTTCAATTACAGTATTCTCTTGATCAAGCTGTAAATTTAAATTGTCTGCTCTGGAAAACAGATTATTAGTTCAGGTAACTGCAAATTAACACAATGAAAGCTTACTGCTTATAAATGGTGTTTAGTTCTTCAGATGTTGGGTTTTTTGGTTTTTTTCCTATTCCACCCTTTACATCTGTATTGGAGAGCCCACAGTTTTATTTTAGTAAAACTAGTGCAAATTGAGAGGTTATCATATTACTCCGAATTCAGAATTTCTAAGATCCATACAAACTGGAGCCTGTAATGAGCAGTAAAATACTATTAAAATCAATATGACAGCATTTTATACCAACTTTAAATGCAGTAAAGTTCTGATCCATTCTATATAATACACGTTAACTACTTGAAATGTCAGAGAAACAAGAGCAGACTTTAAGTGTGTAGTAACTTAAAAATGGATAGAAAGATAAAATTCAGCTACCTATGTAGGATAAGATGTAATTTGAGGGGGCGTGAATGCAGACAGACGGTGACATAAAGTCACAACAAAGATCTCACAAACCAAATGATGCACTGGAACAGGCATCATAACTCACATTTTTTGAACAGTCTCATGGCTGGAATCAAATGCCAGTGTAAAGTGAAATAACTTTTTTAGCAAAGCTCCGCTGAAAACTGTCAAGTTCTTAGCTGAAACCATAAGTTGGAACAGTATATAATGTGCTAGCTGGTGATAGCTGAAGGCCTGGTGGAGCAAAGAATTATTTTGTAGCAAAATGACAGCAATTGCTTGGATTCTTAATTATTTTTTCTTCCATATTAAATCTGTAGATAAGATTTAACTTTATTTTTGGGACCAGGGAAGGGGGAGGAATAGAAGTAAGGGAAAAGTATTTATGGATCAAATAATAAAAAAGGAAGAAATATCTACGTTAAGAGAAGAGATTAATTAGCCTCACATCCTTCCTCCTTTTCTGGAAAAGATAAAGCCAAGGGCAGTGGGAAGTTGGGAAACATAATGGGTTAAGTTCTGTTATATCATCAATGATGTGGAAAAAATGAGTATGGAATGTTTATTTATTGAGTATTTTCCAGCTCGGATATCACAGTCTGCATGTCTTAGCCTCTTGTGCATTAAGTAACTTGTTCTTTACCAAAGAATCAATCTTCTGTTTTATTGGCAGTACATGATGTGCATTAATTGTAGACCGTGATCTGTTTAATTAGATTACTCATGAGTCTGTGTAAAAAAAGTCCCCAACTACCAAAAAGAAGAGATAATAAAAAGGACTGAGGGCTCTTTATTTTTCTTATTGTTTACCAAAGAACCTGTCAGCATACATTGAGTTTGAACATTGACACCAAGGCTGAACCTGAACTGTAAGGGCATACCTTCTCATACCCCTGTTAGGAGAGCAGGGAAATCTTTTTCCAGAATACCAAGAAATCCTAAAGTACAAATGGGTTGAAAGAAATACAAATTCTTGGAAACAGACTCATTAGTGACTACTCAAGTTGACTCAGACTCTAGCCAAGGAAGTCCATGAATCACAGTCTATTTAAGCTGGTTGGATATAAGTTTCTCACACAGTTCTCTTGGTTGACAGGTGATTACTTTGAACTAAATGAATAAATAAAAATTAAGCAAACTCATTAACTTTGTGTCCAGCATATTTCTGATCAGCTGTCTTTCATATTTTTGACTACAGAATCCCCTTCACCTGCAGATGAGTTTAGAAAATTCACTGAGTTCTGATGCTGACGTCACTTTCTCAATACTTGCGATGAACAACTGGTATAATTTCAGCCTGATGCTATGCCAGGAGGAGTGGAACATCACAGATTTTCTCTTCCTCACACAACAGAGCCCCAAGTTCCACCTGGGATCCATTATAAACATCACAGCAAACCTTACTTCAACCAGTGACCTTCTGAACTACCTGCAGTTTTACCTGGAGAGCATCAAAGAGACAACGTCTACCATGGTGATGTTTGGATGTGATATGGAAAAAACACGGAGGATTTTTGAAATAACCACACAGTTTGGTGTGATGCCTCCAGAACTTCACTGGATTATTGGGGATTCACAGAACGTGGAAGAATTGAGGACAGAAGGTTTGCCGCTCGGTCTCATTGCTCATGGCAAGACAACACAGTCAGTCTTTGAGCATTATGTACAGGATGCAATGGAGCTGGTAGCAAGAGCTGTAGCAGCAGCCACCATGATTCAACCTGAACTAGCTCTTATTCCAAGTACAATGAATTGTATGGACACAGATGAAAGGAATATCACTTCAGGGCAGTATTTGTCAAAGTAAGTTTTTCCTTTTTTTTTCTTTTTGTAGCTAATATTTGTGGCATACAATAAAAATATTTTTCCTCCCCCTCCCCACCATTCTCGGTGGCTTAGCCATCATGCTGTAAACCCTCCGTAATACACACATTTGTTTCAGGATTTTCTTCTGCTTCATTACTTCTGAGTAAATAATGAAACTCAAACTTAGCCACAGAGGGAGATTAAGCGAGTTGTAGAAGAAGACACTGTTCCACAGAAGTAGAGATCAGATGGTAAACACAGGCTAGGTTACAGACTATGCTTGGAACATATCTCATATTTATGTTTAAGCATATAAGAAGGAAAAGTCACGGCTACTGTCAAAATCTCTGAGGTTGTGAGATACCTGAGAGAATACAAAACACAATAAGAATATTTGTGCTACCAAAGCAATCAGAGAGTATAAAAGCAATTGTACCAATAATTTCTCAGACATGAAGCAGTGATGAGTGGCTGTAACTGTGACCAGCCTTGTCCATTGCACAAGTGCTTTTAGGCAAGTGGTGCATCTCCAAAGATTAAACTTTTATCTGATGCTTAATTGAGTGTTTACTAACATGGGCATTTTGCTGTCTGAATGAACCCCTCTGTCTTGATACGTAGCCTTGGAGCTGTGGTGGGTAGGGATGGAGAAGGCACAATGGCATGGCTTTGATAAAGCTGTCACAGCCTGTCGGCGTGATCATCAGCTCACACATTGACATAGCATCAAGGAAATTCATTCACCTGTCGCATGTGACAATCTGGTCCCTCACATTCTGAAATTTGCACACATCGTCTTTCTGTACAAACCTGTCAGTAGCCCTGCTGAAAAGATAGTGCTCTGATATTGCCAGTGTGTCTATGCAATACTCAGCCCTTGTAATTCCCAAAGATTCACACTAGAGATTGCTGGCTTACATAATGTAGTCAGATCCTCTTAGCTATTTCCTAAAGTTATTAAGTTTTTACATTAAGTCCCCAGCATGAGTTTCACTAGTGCTGCATCCAGCGTATGCAAATGGTTTGCAGCCATAGTCACTTGCGTTGTTAAAATGCATCTCCCACATGGTTTCTTCATTTATTTTGATCGATGTCCTGTCACTACCAAAAACATGCAAATCAGCTGCAAAAATAAACCACTAACTCAATAAGGTAGCAAAGTCATACATTTAAGTGCTACTAAATCTCTCAGGTAACCATTTCTAACACAATTCAACCACAGGACAGGTACAGAGGGCTTGATTCACCCTCATGGGCACACTTATTTCTACAGTGAAAGTCAGAGAACACGGTGCATAAGTTCCACTGGTCTCATTCTACCTGCAGAAAATATATCTAATGCATTATTCCATAGCTTCATCTACTCCCAAAGCAGCTGGTCTGCAGCATTCTGATAGCCAAATTGTGCTGTAGTAGCAACATGGGGCCAAATTCAACAGAACTTTGCTAGCTTATTCCATCTGAGGACTTGTCTCCCTCAATTTTGGCATGTTGTGAACTGTTAACACTGTTTTCAATGCTTAAAATATTGTTTCAAAATTCTTCATACAGACACATCTACACATGCAATGGTTTTACTGTTACTATGATAGTGATGGCTTCAGCATATAAGCCCAGCAAGGCTTGTAAGAAGTAAGTCGCACAATTTTTTTACAAAGACTGAGGCAGAGAGTTAAAAACTAGGTAAGTTTATGGGGACATAAACCTTTCTTTAGTGCTTAAGATTGCATTCCCCTATAAACTTTGTCTTGATAGTGTTTACATACACAAACATGCAAGTACACCATCAAATGTGAAACAGAGAGTAGGAGGAAAGGATTGGTCAAAACTGGCAGACACTACTGATTAATGAAGTTACAATATCATTTAGCTAACACTGGACTTAAGTGGTAAAGGATTTTAAAGATGAGAACCACATTTTTGCATCTGTCCCGTTTATAAATACCTATGTGCAATTTTAGGCATCATTTTCTAGCCCATGATGGACAGATCATTTGTTTTTGACAGTATTGGCTGTATCACATTTCTCCAAACTCAGCCTACTCAGGCTGCATAAGAAGAATTTTGAAGCCATCTCAGAGAAGGCTCTCACACAAACAACCACACTCAAAACTATATTATTTAGTTTCATAAATTTGCCCTTTGCTGAGGACACAAACTGATAGGATCTTGAGGCATACACAGTCCAGAGTTTTAACTGCTGAAACTCCATCAAAAGTCATCAAAATAAAGGGCAGAGACCAGGCAGAAGTATGCATGCACACACACTTGCTATGGATTTATCCTTTTCAAATCAATTGAAGGTTATTTTTTATCTGCTCTAACTATTGATAAACAATTAACACTACTTAAAGTTTATGTCTTGTTTATTGAGGCTGGAATGACAGCTATAGCCTTTATACTTCTTTCAGTGCTTGTTTTCATCCAATTCCCAGAACTAATGTGAGGTGTTATAATCTACTTTGACAGCTAAATAGTCTGTCTTCTGAATGCCTCTTACTGGAAAATAATGTGCCTGACTTACCTTACACCATACTAGCAGCAATTGACTCATTTTTTTTTAATGGAATCACCATAGCAAGACTTACATAGTCCTAGTAGGGTCTCTCTACAGCCTCTGCAAAATGCATAGCAGCTTTCTTGTTAACAGAGTGCAGTTCAGCTGGTCATTGTGTTTACACTAAAAAAGATTGTCTCCTTATAACACTTATTTCCTGTGCGGTTCCCTGCTCCTTTATCCATGTCATTTTACCCTCTTTGATAATGACTTGCCAGAAGCTGAATTCAACATATAGGGAGGATAACTACTAGCAAACATTGCCACCCAATACAAAGGAAATACTTAACTTACTGGGAATATCTGGAATTGTAAAAGCCCAGAAATCTCAATGCAAAATGTATGGTGCAACACTGCCACACATCATGAGATTGACTACAATGTCAAAATTGCACTTTTAAAAACCTTAGTTTTGAAGATATTTTAATAAAGTACTTTTTTTTTTAAGAATTAAAACTGACTGTTTTAGGGAAACTATCTTTCACTGAATCCATTTCTTCATTCTGAAGTGGCTAACAGTGATTTACCAATGGAAAACTTGCATTTTTCTAATCCAGATTGGTTCACTTCTGAGCACTTGAAAGCTGTTGACAGCACTTCAGTAGCCTCTCTTTTGCAAGCAAGATCTTACTGAGATTATATGATTTTTCTTGGAAGGACATTTCGTACATAATTTCCACTCTTCCATTTTCATACATATTTTTATCTAGGAAACTGACTACAGATCTGGTGAGTTCAGCTTAGAACTAACCTATGTTTCATTAATTTCTGAGGCAAAGGTAACTGAAAATAAAAGGTGTTATCTTACTCATTTTTTCTAGTAAGTGAAAAGAATATCTTTCCTGGAGAGTTTTATTTACATTAGATATGTAGGAGAGCATTCCCAGGTACTTTAGTCATAAATTAAGCGGCTTGTTCATCGTGCCATAGGAAAGCCATTAATGATCCAGGTGATCAAAAACATCCCAAATCTGTTCTCTTCAACATAAGTTCATTGTGTCTGCATATGCTTTAGCATGATGACTTCAGTACTCTGCTTTCTCCCTCCAACAGGTTTTTAGCCAACACAACTTTTGACGGTCTCAGTGGCCGCATTAAGGTGAAAGGCTCCTCCATCGTCAGCTCAGAAAACAACTTCTTCATCTGGAATCTGCAGCACGACCCTGTTGGAAACCCAATGTGGACTCGTCTGGGGAGCTGGCAAGAGGGAAAGATAGTCATGGACTATGGTGTATGGCCAGAACAGGCCCAGAGACATAAAAATCACATGCAACACCCCACCCGCCTGCACCTCAGAGTGGTAACTCTCATTGAGCATCCATTTGTCTTTACAAGAGATGTAGATGATGAAGGTCTTTGCCCTGCAGGGCAGCTGTGCCTGGATCCTTTGACTAATGATTCAGCCATGCTGGATAACTTATTTGAAACCCTTCAAGGAGGGAATGACACCGTTCCCATTGAGCTGAAGAAGTGCTGCTATGGCTACTGCATTGACCTGCTGGAGAAGCTAGCTGAGGATATGAATTTTGATTTTGACCTGTACATTGTTGGTGATGGAAAATATGGAGCCTGGAAGAACGGTCACTGGACAGGGCTGGTGGGAGACCTTCTGGCTGGCACAGCTCACATGGCAGTGACATCATTTAGCATTAACACTGCCCGCAGCCAAGTGATTGATTTCACCAGCCCTTTCTTTTCAACCAGCCTGGGCATCTTGGTGAGGACCAAAGACACAGCAGCTCCTATTGGAGCCTTTATGTGGCCACTTCACTGGACTATGTGGCTGGGGATATTTGTTGCTCTGCACATCACAGCTATATTTCTCACCTTATATGAGTGGAAGAGTCCTTTTGGGATGACCCCCAAGGGAAGGAATAGAAACAAAGTCTTCTCTTTCTCCTCTGCCCTGAATGTCTGCTATGCGATCCTGTTTGGAAGAACAGCTGCCATCAAACCCCCCAAGTGCTGGACTGGAAGGTTTTTAATGAATCTCTGGGCTATTTTCTGTCTGTTTTGTTTGTCCACTTACACAGCCAACCTAGCTGCTGTCATGGTAGGAGAGAAGATCTATGAAGAGCTTTCTGGAATACACGACCCAAAGGTAAAGCATGTCTGTTGTTATTAGCTCAGCCTTTTCTTCTTCCCAGTCAAAATTCACTGCTGCATAATTTATGGTTTCTAATAAAATCAGAAAGAAATCTGTGTACAAAACAACAGTTGCATTACAATTAGTCACCTTCTGACATCGCTTCATTAGGAAAGTTCAGTGAGAGAGGCTCCTTAAATACCCATAGAAAAGTGTAGGGGGGGAAGATTTCAAAGATTGAGGGTGAGGAGGAAGGTGAAGGATTTTGGTGTTGCCCACTGCAGAGAAGAAAAGTGACTTCCACATGCAGATTAAGGGTCAGGTTTCAGTTCTGAGGTCCCTTTGGCTGTAGTTGTTTTGATCAACTGGATGATTTGGGTCATCCTGAGATCTCAAACAAAACAAACACACAGCTTGAAAACAAGACCACTGATGTTCTAGGAAGGATTTTGCAAGTATTTCACAGGCCATAATGATGCTTACAAAGGCATTACTGGCAAAATTCCCCATGAATGCTAAATCAAGTGGAGCAGAACTGAGATAATTTGAAAAATCCTACTTTCTGTGTCAAAACAGTGGAATTCACTTTACAAGCAGTCAAACATTTGATTTGTTATGTTTTTTCTGATGGGGAACTCTCGTGGAAGGAGATGAATTGTGTTGTAGACAACCCATCTGCAAATAGGTCAGACTTCCTAGTAATTTTTGGTAAGGCAAGGGAAAATGTAGAAGCAGGACTGCCCTCACCGCCTTTCTCCCCCATTCCCAAGGGAGGATGAAGGGCTCTTCAGTTGGAATTCAAGTCCAGTCATTTTATAAGACTATTCAGATTTTAGTTGCGACTAAGTAATGATGATGAAGACATGCATGCAGGATGGTTTGTAGAGAGAATACATGGCTGCAGGTAACACAAGAGCAGGCATCCTCTTCACCTGATAGTCACAGTAGGGGACAGGGTGGCAACAGCAAATGTCCCTTGTTTGGCACTTCCTCCAGTGCAGGTGTGATTGTATTGTCCACGGTTTTATACTCATGACCTAATGGCTGGTAGATAGCTTTGAAACCATCTACTGTTAATTCATCTCAGATGACTGAATTGATACAACATTGTGCCAGTGGAAAAAGTCATTTTAAGAACTCAAGAACTGCACATTTATTTTGCTTTCATAAATTGTGTAAATAAAGGTTACATATGTCCCTCTAGACAGCAGAGGCCAAGCTCCATCTGTTATGTTAGTAAAACCTTTCATTCAGACTAATGACCACACAGTTTTGACTTTGTGAGTACAACTTCTGACTCACTTCCTCCAAAATTGTCTAGATCCTTTCTACCAAAAATATTTTTAAAAAGAACAACACTTTTAATGCTTGGCCTGAGGCATTCTAAAATTGATTTATGACTTAAAGAAAACTGCTACTAATAATCTGCCTTTCTCCTCACAGAAAAAAATATCATAAATACTGCACCAGTTTAAGCTGAAAAAGTCCAGGAATCATGTATTTGTTTTATTCAAAGCATTCTCAATAAACAATTGGGAGCTTTTAGCTGAATTTCCACAGCTCCAGGCATATCTCTCTTACAGTCATTGTTGTATGAGCTGTAACACTGGCTTGAAAATGAGGTTAGTCCTCTACTCTTTGCATGAGCATCACCTAATCCATCAAATCAAATTGCATCAGATTACACCCTGTTTTTCTGCATTATAATTGTGACCACACATGGAGTTCCTAAGGCAGGTATTGGGAAATTTCTGCAATTGCAAGAAAATGAAATTATTCTAAAGCTGCATTGTCAAGCTTGGCTACAAAATTGATCACAGAGTATTGAAACATATCAGGTGCTGCAGACACAAGTCTTAGTCCTGAACAGAAACACCAGTGATTCATGGTTAGTAACCTCAGTGATCCCATGAACTCAGTGGCATGACTGACCTTTTCTAGATGGGCACTTCTGTGCCTCATGCGCTAAGTCTAAGCGTCTGAGTAGTTAACAATTTCCAGTGTGGGAATGAGACAAAGTAGGTTTTATGGAAGAGGATTGCCTGTCATTATGCGAACTACCAAATATTTTAATATATTTCATTCAGGCATTTGCCTCCGAAGTTTTAGCCTGTAAGAGCAGTTATAATAAAAAATGTACTGGTTTGACCTTTTCTCACACAAACCCTGAGCTGTGCCCTTTCAAAGTTCTCTCTAAGACTTAAAGCTTAGGTTTAGGAACCAGTTGCAGAGGTACATGTACCACTTCTTAGTTAGTTACTTAAAGCATTTTTAACATGATTTAAAGATTTTGTGGAGTTTTTTCCAGATACGCTTACCTCTTTCTTTTCAGTGGTGTCAACTCATTTGTAAAGGAAAGCAGGAGGATGCAGAATTAATATTTTTAATTTTAATATACTTTCAAACATTCCCCTGCTGCTCTCAGGATACATATGCCCTTGTACTGTGCTTTTGAAATGTATTTAAAAAAAACAAAGCCCAAAACAGAGGAACAACCTTCTTGAGGTGATGCAAGATATATCATTTCTTCAGGCTGGCAGCCACAAACAGCAAATCCCATCTGAGATTGCAGACAGTCAGGAAGGAAAACAAATTGGGAAAAATGGAAAGGTTGTTTTTCAAGATTAGAAACCTGGTATCTAAAGTCAGTATTGCCAGGAATATCTGTGCTCTCTCTTCTGATTAAAAAAAAATACAAGGTTAGATACAGCATGAATAAATAGCATCTGCCTTTCTAGAAAAATTCATGTTACAACAGTGATGTTTAATTGACCAAGCAGTACAGTGTTTCAGCAGTTGCTCTTTGCAGCTGAGCAAAAGAAAAGTGGTCCTCCTGTGTTGCTGAAGTCTCAAAGGTACAACATTTTCATCAGAAATCAAAAGAAAATGAGTTGCAGTACAACCACTAATCACAAGGTAAAGTGGAATATGGAATTAGAGGTATCTCAACTGCACCTTTGAATGCACAAACGATGTAGAAGTAGAAGTAAGGGAATATGGAAATATCACACTGCTGAAAGGAGGAGTGGCCAGTGAGGCAAGACAATCCATAGCAGAAGCTACAGGAGGCAGGAAAATTAGGTTCCTGGAAAATGTCTTAAATTTTTGAAACTTAGTGTGTATTTTACGTGCAAGGCTCTTAACAAGGGTGGGCCACTAAAGGCCAACATCTGGAGTATCCATCAATGATGGCTACTCCCTTTACTAGGTCACATTTCACATGACTTTTTACAGTAGGACCTACAACATAGCAAGTAAATTGCAGAAATATTAAAGCAGTGTCCTGCCACCTTAAAATCTTACTCTTCTAAGAGAATGTGCAATTTTGGGCTGCAGCCCTCTCTCCCTTGTTTTTTAATCTTATTTAGACCATCATCTCTTGCCAGCGGAAACTGGCAAACACAGCTTTTGGGAAAAAAATTCACTTGAACTTGCTCAGTCTGCTGTTTGAGCACAAGAGGATAGCTACAGGATGAACGTGCTGTTTACCTGGATTAAAGTTTTTTTAAGTGCCCTGATTTCCTCTTAGGCAGCTCTCTACAGTACATGGCAAAGAAGTTTAAAAGCTTGTTTGCAGATAGAGGAGATAGAGGAAAAACATTGTATTTGGATCATTTTATACTGCTTTTATCCCTTGTCATATCTGAATCCCAGAGGCTTTTTTCAGTTTTTCTCCTAGTGTCACATCTCTGGACACACAAAAATTTACAACATTTTTCTATGTCAGAGTGCTTGGCAGACCAGGTACACTGTTGTAAGAGTTGACTTCTGTACAAGGTCAGTTCTTCAGCCTACAGCTATAGAAAGCAGCAGCCTGCCTTTGAGCTGGTCTGATCATTTGTCCTGCCTACCTGCAATGACCTGGAGACAGCTGGCTTGATTCCTGACTTCTCACAAACCTGCTTATCACCTTGTTTATTGTGTAGCTCTTTAGCCCCTTGGTGATGACATTATACTCAGCTATAGTTGAAAAAGCCACCACCCAAGGTTTTTTAACCTTCAGTGGGTCCAATGCACATTTTCACAGTGGCAAGACTAGGTTGCAATCAGTAACTCCTTAAAACAGAGCTGGAGCACATAGGTACAAAGATGGGGACAGATGAGTCTAGAACAGCTGGCAACTGTCATCTTTTTCCTGATTGAGAGATGGTAATTGTATTACAGATCCATAGCAGCAAGCTGAGTACTCAGCCTTGCAGGCACAGGCTGAGCAGAGCGGGGTTACACAAATAAGCAAGAGGCTGTGGGTACAAAAAGTATAATTTGCTACTATTCTGCTTCAGCAGCATGTATCTTTATGGCTGTTGTCTCTTTTAGCCAATCTTGTGACAGATCCAGATATTTTATGTTCCAGTATGGTTTCCATAAAGCGGTGCTATCTGCACGTGAATAATCGCAGACAGGGAAAATAATAAATTATCTGTAAGTACAGAGCAGTGTGAGTGCCTTCCTTCAGCCAGCAAGACTTCAACTAAGGCCTGGATCCAGTAAAACTCTTAATTATCAAATCCAGAAATAGGGTCTTGTATTACAGGGTCTTCTAGTGGTTTTTTTTTAATGGCAAGGGGACTCGAAGCAAGGACTTTGCTTTCTGGTTTCTAATGAAAGAACACATGTTGGAGATGCACGATAAAGTCAGGAGTGTGTTGAGTAGTTCAGATTATCTGAGGCAAAATAATTGTGGAAGCCCAGAGGACAGAAAAAACATTTCAGACATGCCAACAAGAAAGCATACAACAGCAGAAGCTGAGGAGCTCGACAGGTTTTCCATAAGGTGGTCCAACACCTGGCCTGTCTTTCTGCTAAAAGTGTCATGCTTTCAACAACATAATGAGCTTTTCAGGTGCTGTCCGACTGTTGTCACTTCTGTGACAGCTGTCAGCTTTTATTTGCCATCTTTAGGATACACTTGAGTAGCTATGCATGTTAATTTACTGTGGTTATATTTTTACTTCTCTGGATCACTTCACCTTCAAAACACCCTTTGACAATGGCAAGGTTCCTTTCCATATTGT